AAATACCCCACAATCAGGTGCCCCACAAAGGCCCTGATGTGAGAATGTGTGAGTGTGTGTGGTTGTGGGGGGGGGGGGGGGTGGAATATCAGGTAAACCAAAATAATGTGAGAGAATGTGGCCACAGGCTGAGCTATCCTTCCATTTCCTTCATTTTTTAACGATTTGACTAGGGGCACATTCTACCCATCTTCCCTCTTTATCTTTGACTGGGGAGGAGGCTGTGGTCAGAGGGAAGGGGCACGTTCATCCATGCCCCCTTCATAGCTTTATCAGTAAGAGAGTTGATGTATGAACACCCTTTATATTGTTAAATATATTTCTCAAGCCTGTCCACATATAACTTTTTTATTTGTATCTTTACATGTTTGTTCTCATCTTAATATTCCTACTTTCTTCAACATTCAAATTCGTATTATAGATATTCTAAAACCTAAATAGTATTGCTTATTTCAGAGAGTGCTAACACGAGACTGAAATATATAATCGATCTACATTTATAGTTTTGTCAACCGTCTTGCAAGGAATAGCTTTTGAATAAATTGAGATGCATACTTTAATAATAAATATGTATTTTTATATTCAAGAAATGTCTGCCTACCGGGTTCCCATTTATTTCACCTGGGTGGAGAATGGCAAATGCAGATTAATATCTTTCCTCAAAGGGGAGGCACTAGTCCAAGACAATTATTCCCGAGCCCCCCCCCCCCCAAAAAAAAAAGATTACCATACATTTTTCAGAAAACAAGAATGATGCTGTGTAAGTTGTATAATTCCTTTCTTCCAATGTCACCATTCTGTTGGGTCATAATATCGTTATAACAAAAGATGAAGTACACAGGTGTCTGACATGCTCTGAGATTTTGATTAGCAATATCTTTAAAAGTTCTTGATTATCCTCAATTAAATTTCATAGGTCATATCATATATATAGTATTATATCCTAAAGTTTGTGTAAATTAAGGTACAGCTACTAAAGTTATGCTTGCTTTTTGTGAGACAAAGTTTAGGAGACACTATTTTTGAGGATGATCAGGTTCTTTTTAAGATATTGTCATTCAAAATTTGGTTGGCATTTTTCGGACACCCTGTATCAATCTATTCCAATTAGAATGAAGCACACCATAAATTAGACATTCACAAAGAAGAACAATGATTCCATATTGCATTTATTCATAAAGATAACACGGTGGTACAGCAAAAAAGAGATGAGTGGATGTGTCACATGGTATGTACAACAATCAAGGTCACAAAACTAGTACAAGAACTTCAGTATTTCAGAAATATAAGTACAAGTTGATAGTATGTGCCAGAACAAAGTGATTTCTATCTTGCTCACATGTTTTCAAACATTTTCTGTATACAATATCACATTTTGAATTTAGGTTGGGCTTGCTTTAGGGGTAAGTATTGATAATTGTGAATGCTTTGATGATTAATAATCTATTTTTGTAGTAGACAGTATTGGATATCTTGTTGAGCAATGAGCAAATTGGCAACACTGTTCAGATACAATGAGTTACTTTCAATAGATTCGATAGATATTAATTGATTTAAAATGGGAACCACAACATATTCTGACCATGAATATTACGTCTCCTTCCTCCCATAGGGACTATATGTAAAAGGGATGCAGCAAAAACACACAGAGGAAAGGGAATAAAAGCCAACCTTTTATACCCGTTCCTTAAAAAATAATTCTCTTTATTTTGTCCTGAGGATGTCTTTATGAAAGGAAAAACCAATTTGACCATTGGATGTTGACTTAACATCATTTATGTGTTTTCAATTTCACAGAGATACATATCTTAAAAATTGAAATTTTAATTCTACTCATGCCACAGATTCTTAACGAAGTTTATAGCATTTAGATGCACAGAGTTGTAGAGTATCAGTAAATTCATGGCATGATATAACAACTTTTGAAAAGATATATCTGTAATTTGTACTCTTGATATAGATTTCTAGTCCATAAAATTATAATCCACATCCTAATTCATTGATTAAACCAATGTGGTATCTAAGACATTTGGTCACTGAATATAAATAACAATAAAATGTTGAATAATGTGCACTTATACTTTTGTTATAACACATAATATCATCTATTTGAAGCAGAAGGGCATCATCTCATTTCATTTTAAACAGAATTAATACCATTCGGGCTCCGATTAGATGATATCGTCGCTGTTTTCACGAAGTGACGGTAGTGAAAAAAAATTGCATTCACTTTGCGTTACAATTTTCCTCACTACCGTCACCTCGTGAAAACAAGGACGATATGTGCAAATCTTTGACTATTTTGAGAGCAATCTTTTCCATGTTCCTAAAAACAATTTATAAACAAATATGTACTATAGCACAAAATTTTACACCACAAATAAGTTAATGCACAGGAACAATTACAGAACAGTGAACCTGGAACAAAATTAGGCAATTTGAATAAAAAAAGAAATAATCAATTTTTAGATAATCACCCATATGTCATTAATATCAAATGGTATCAAAGAAACTCATCTTCTGCATTCTAGAATTATACAAATGCTTATACTTGCATGTAAAGTGCATTAAATAAAAAACACAAACATTATTAATCATCATTGAATAACTTGAAAGAAATTTAAAGTAAAATATTAAAACAAATTATTAGGAAGTTGTCAGTTAATCCTGTGTAAAATTGTGTTTTTCTTCATTTTAATAAATCATTCTTAGTCTTCACTGATGACTGATGGATGTATTTTTGCTTCATAGAAGTCCACACACACTATTTTCAATTAACTTCTACTTGAATCTGTTGTGAAAGAACACACAAATCAATGGAATATGAAGAACTTGGACTAAAAATGTTTTTGCTATTTCAATATTAGATCTATAAACACACAAGGGTTCCAAGCTGAATGTATCCCTTTATTTAGGATCAAATCTTTAACAACAAAACGGTAGTAATTAGGTGGATATAAAATGTCAATATTTCCAAGAATCTGTCTGTTAAATATGATGATACATGCCAGTTTCTCACAAGCAAGTTTGGTATTACAAAATTAATCTTTCTCACTGATCTTGAAAACTGCAAGTAAATAGTATAAAAGTAACGACAAAAGTATGGGTTATATTTAAACAATATATGTTTGTCATCTTTGTTATAATCTAAATTACAGTTCACAAAGGATAAGCTCTGAACAATGACAACATTGGGATCAACATACATAGAAAAATATTCACATAGCACCAAACCTTGCCTCCTGTGAGCAAGAAGAATGCTAACTCAACATTGTCTTTAGAGTTAAAACCCTTCCTGCTCTCAGCAGACAAATTCTCTTATTACTTTCATCTCATTTTCTTGTGAAAATGTTAAAGTTGGACGTAAGTCTTGGTCAGTGTCATAGCATTAAGTCCTCTTAATCTTTCTCCATATTTATATGATGAACAGAATGAGCAACTTAATCTCATGTACCAAGTTATTTTATGCTGGACACTTGATTAGTATCAACCTTCGGCCATTTAAAAAAAAAAAAAAAAAAAAAAATCACATTTATGTTGCTTCAATTTAAAACTTCAAAACCATAAGAATCAATTGATTTTTATATTTACACTGAAGCAATATTTGGCAGCCTGCAACTTTAAAGCTTTTAAACAAGAGAGGGCTTAGTAGTTGATTTCTTCAATGCTGGTGCTTCTTGTGGAATTAAAATGCAAGGGTGGTATGCAAAGTTATAAAGGAGTTTAAATCATAAGAACAATTATGCTTTTTAATCTATCTGTGAGCTGGCTTAAAGAGAAGGTTGAGTTCTGGGAAGAGGTGAAAAATAATTTGTGAGCGTTATCATTCTTATTATGCAAGTGTGGAAGAACATCAGATAAGACATGTTCCCTAAAAAGCATGACTCTTCAAATGCCTTTATATTCTAAATATGTCATGTACATCGTAAAACTCGGGGGTGGGATTTTTACGCCACGTGTTCGTGTAGTCCCATATACATCTTTCTGTGTGGAGTGTTTGTAACTTTACCAAGACTTGGCCAAATTTCTTATCATTTTGATGATTCCAGAACCTTGCAATACATACAAATTCTTATATGCTAGATGATCAACCTTTTCTGGTCGATTCCACACCGTTTCTTTCACAATGCAATCGCATGACCAGAACTCAACTTCATCTTTAATTTATTTAAAAAACTGAATAGATAAAAACATAATATGATGCCTTTTATCTTGCAACAGTTTACTAGTATCAACAGATAAGAATATCAATGGCAAACATTTAGGAAAGATTAAAGGCTTTGGTGAAAACTTGTTAGTCCAAGAAAAGAGTCCAGGTCTATCTCAAGTCAATTAGGTCTAAAATTAAGACTAGCACACATAATGGTACACATATCTCAATACCAGGTCAAGTTTGACTACACTGCCAAAAAAGTGCAGAAGTCTAACATATTAAAAAAATGCATATGTAATCAGTATTTTTTTGTCCACAGTGAAAACATGAATACAAAATGTTGCTAAATGAATATAAATTTACAGGTACAGAGTAACATCAGCCCGAGAAATTAGGCTATATTTCGAATTTTATCTAAGAAGCTTGAAATAAAGAGAAATATAGTAAAAATACTTTTGAAAATATTGAACTTTTTGTTATTGGACATCAATATCAATGGTCCTTAATGCATTAAGACATTTGTTGTTGTTGTGAAACCCATTTCATAATACTCCTGGATTCAGATTTTCTACTTATGCTTTTCTCTTTGAGTTTGGTGATATATTAAGCATTGCTTAAAATAAAACTTGTTAATCATCAATTTCATAATTTTATGCAAACGTTACTCTGTGCCTTTAACCAATTAATATCTACTAACTTTACTTCAACACAGAACTAAACATCATTATAGTGACAAACAAGAAGTCTTGCATAAAGAGTATATACATTGTCTTATTCTGTCTGTAGACTGTAAAAAGTTTGTACACGTGATAATTGCAAATGTATGAGAATACATCACCACATTTCTATAAAACAGTTTTGAAAATGTTAATAATTTTGTATAGTAGTATATTCTCTTTCCACTCATCTGGTCAATAAAAATAGGAGATAAAAAGTGAAAGAAAAACATCCCTTACTAAAGACAAATTCCATGATAAAAGTAGATTCAATAGGGAGAAATGTAGAAAGTACATACAAAATAGGAATAGTCTTAAGTACTTATGATACCGTAGTTTATCATTTCATGTCAAGGTAGATTAGTGAGAGCATTAAGAGCTTTGATGCATAATTACCAGTATATTCTAACATCCAAGATCCTTGTCTTGTACATTAAAGCTATACAAATTTCAAATCATGGCAGTGTTTGTGAAACCCTAGTAAATAGCTAAATTGCCATAAAATATTGTTTTATTTATTCAATTTATTTCATGTTTGTATTTTAACAGTTTGATTTACAAAAATCTCACTCCAGTTAATTAAAAAAATGCTGCAGATCTTTGATTGTGCAGTCCCCAAACTGGAGGTCAAGCTCCAGGTCCTGTGGTCATGTAATTAATGTCTGAACTAGTCAAGAAGTCTTACATCGTAAGCAGTGCACAAGTCTTCAGGTGAAAGCAAACTTGCAGCACCCAACAGCCGACAAGAACTGCAGCTACCAAAGGTTGTAAAAGCTGTCTGGTTTTAATGACTCTGCTCTAACATTGGCGTTGGCATTCTATGTCTGAGTGATTTCATACGAAGGCAACTTTTTCAACCTTTGCAGCTGTTTGACAAAGTGCAATAGATGCTTCATTAGTGTTCTCCTTAAAACCCACACCCATATAAACTATGCATTTTGACATATCATTCATTACTGGGACGAGGTAGGGATGGTGGTAGAATGAGTTTTCAGCTTAAATTTTCAATTACCATACCAGCTTTAAAAAAGAAGAAGATACAGTTCTCCATCTCCTTGCAGCACAAATATAACAACTGGATCAAAATATGTCAATCTATAAAGATACACAAAAAAAGGAATGAAAAAAGCTTGTCATCATCCGCCTACAAGTGGTATCCAAGGCAAGGTGACTAAAGCGAGAACGATGATAATGATTGACCAGATGAGTACCTTACGTCATTGTTGCGAGATGCACCTGTTATATGAGGGGGGCGGGGGCACTATATTTTCCGCGCTTTGGAGCATCTGGGCAAAGGCATCTGGGTGTCGCAAGACAATTTCGTAAGAGGGCGGTCCCCCGCTCAGAGCCTCAAGCTCTTCACAAATAGTTCCATTCTGCGAGACAGGGCTCGAGACCGGACTTGTGGTGCTGCTCCCTATAGAAGTCCTGGAGCAGATGGTAAAAGGGAGGGCGTCGTAACGCCGGGTGTTGTGCGGGAAGCCGTTGCTGGATCGGCCAGAGCGCGAGGCTGAGTGCACCATCATGACGACCATCGGGGTGGGACGCGCTCGAGGGGAAGAGGTTTCCTCGATGCGGCGGTCGCAGGATTTACAGGCATAGTGGAGTAGGGCGCCACCAATGATGATGAAAGAAAACGCTGAGATCATGGATATTGCGATGATTGCACCAGGTGGCAGATCTGCATAATGTGGTAAAATATGAAAAGAAATGTAATAGAATAGTAATATTTACATGAAACTGTACAAAATGAATGTCTGTAATTGAGACTTATAATAACAATTCAGTTTGACACTTACAGTCAAAGGGTACTACTGATGATCAAAGACACAATTGAAATAATCAAGAATGAAAAGTATGTCCATCGGATTATGATAAATGAACATCAAGGACCAACAGGTAATCATTTACCAAAAGTACCTTATTTTCTTCAAACTTCTTATTGGGTAAACACCAGAATGGGGTTGAATTCCCCATGAGAGCTAACTACCGAGTGTCTTTAAGTGATACCACGGAGCACTGAACCAACTTACGACTTGCGGAGCCAGACGCGGCTGTGATGAGACCGGTACCCTCAGACTTGCAGATGACGGCTGCATCCTCGTTATGGATGCAGTCATGGATGTGGAGTTCATTATGATCACACTCCAGGAGGTTGGCCTCATCTCCCTTGCAGTCCACGTTGTCCAGGAGGATGTTGACCAGACCAGGACCGAAGGTGGTTGCTTGGGTCAGGGCTCGCAGGGCATCGGGAAATCCTAGCTGACGACATACCACCTGAAAATGTGATAGGGCAACAGAGGAAGAGGAGGAGGAGAAGGAGGAAGAGGAGGAGGAGGAAGAGGAGAAGAAGAAGAATGAGAAAAAAAAGAAGATGGAGAAGAAGAAGAAGAAGGAGAAGAAGAAGGAGAAGAAGAAGAAGAAAAAGAAGAAGAAGGAGAATGAGAAGGAGATTGAAGAGTAAGAAAAGGAGGAGAAGAAGAAAAGGGAGAAGAAGAAGGGCAAAGAAAGAGAAAGAGGAAGAGGAAGATAAGGAGGAGAATGAGAGGGAGAAATAAAAGGAGAAGGAGAAGGAAAAGAAGAAGAAGAAGATGAATTACAAAAATTAAGATGATGAAGAAGTTATTAAATTCAATGCTCACTGCATGCTTCAATGAAAATTACCAGATTATTATATAGACCAACAAACCAACATTGGCATACAAGACCAATTGCCTTCGAGAGTCAAGAAGCCCCATTGATACAGTCCTGGCTGACACACCAACAATATCATTCCTGCAGGCCTTCTGAAAATCAATGAGGGTTCATAAGACCTGTAGCCCATAAAATTGATCGACCGAAATGTTGGTCTCGCATTGCCTTGAAGTTCGGACAACTTTTTTGAGGGTCCTTGTCATTATACCTCTGTTATTATCTTTGGATGTTGGTCTCATTAGTGATTGGTCTTGATAATGGGATGTCCTAGGCTTAGAAGGACGAACCAACTTACCCGAGCATCTTTAATATCCCACAGATCGTCACAGATAGTATACCAGTCGTTATCATGGTAGATCTCAACCCGACCTTGATGATCATCCTCCGACCCTGCTAACCTTACATCAGCCTCTGTATGAATGGTATCAAGATCAAACATGTATGTCAACGTCATCATCACACAAAACAATCAAGCTTCATTATAGGCAAATACAATTAAACAACAGGTAATGGTAACATTCCTTTCTTATACAGGGAATTTCACATCTTTAGTAATGTATCTACACATTTCCAACGAGCTTTAATCATTGGTCTTTGGATCTGTGTCTGTTAACCACTTGACAATTGTATATTTTGAATTCTTATATTTTTTATTTTTATGTTTTATGTAATGTTTTTTATGTCTTTTTAATTGTACAGACAGGGCCCCTTGGAAGAGCAATATTTGTTATTGAAGGAGGTACCCTGTTTAAAGAAAACTAAAATAAATAAATAAATTAGTGCCCAAGATGCTGTATATACTACACTGGATTGGGAAGAATGGTATTTTAGTGATTGGGGACTATGGTATAAATATACAAATATTGACTGGCGGAAATAATCTTTTCAGATAGGACAACCCAACAACAACAACAAAAGCTTTGAGGGGCACGATTCACTGTCTCACTTTCGCATATATATCCATTGTTAGCTACAGGTATATTGGACAATATTTTTTTGCTCTCTTGCCCAGCAGTCGGTAGCAAAGTTTATGCCTGCAGTTTTTACCAGTCGGAGGCCTAGAATCATATGCCGTATATCACACTACATCATATCATATTCCATGGGTTAAGATATATTCATTGCGAGGACAGTCATATAATTTTATCATTTAAATTACAAAAGCCAATTTTCACTCCGTTCATGAGACAAAAAAGCTGACAAAAAACACACAACAGTATTTGGGACCCTGTTGGAACCATCAGAATGGAGAATGAGGATCAACTGACGAATATCCCACCACACAAGTAACCCAAACCCTGACCCTATTCCTTCCCAAACTCTTAACCATAACTATAATCTATTGTGCTGATGCATGGAGGGGAATTCTAAAGTTAAGCCAAAAATAAATTCAATTCATATCCAAAAATATTTAGCCTACCTGCAAATTTTTTCTTCTTTATAATTGGTATGAGTGTTGAGTTATCCAAATGTATGTCTGTTAAATTGCTTCGATCAGCAAACCAATCCTCGTCCGGTTCATCGTTAGAGCATTCTGCAGCAGCGAATCCATACTGGCACGTCCATGGACTATTGAAATCTTCCGTTGAGAAATCACACTCTTCCAGTGAGGTCTCAGTTCCTTTGCACTTGAATTCACCAAATTTGGAATGACAGTTCATCTTGCTCCATGGGCAGAAGGGCTGTCGCCGTGGCAACCCAGACAGGAAGCCACGTTGCCTACAGGCCACCAGGGCATCACGTTTGTCCCACTGCAGATCAGCACAAATGTTCCACCAGATGCCCTCGTAGAATATTTCCACTAGACCTACTTTGGTCGGTACCAATCTCACGCCTTGACCTAGCACAAAATAAGATGTAAGATGGGATACAAGTTGTGTCACTGAATTATAGCGTTTTTATGCTGGTGCAAAACTTCCAAGAATTTGATTAGAAATAGTGAAACCCATACATTGCATGATACTGCTTTAAAATTCAAAGAATTAAATTTTCCACGATAGAGACCAATATTTATTCTCTGTCTCCAAAGAGTACATCCTTCTTGGACAAGTAATGTTTTAAGATTTCCTACATTAAAATAAAAAATAGGATAACCTGAATGAAATGAATACTACTCAAGAGCTGTGAACCTTAAAACCCAGCAAAGTGACTGTTGAGATCCAAAAGAGCACTAACTAATATCATAACACCCTTCTGTCTCTCAAAAGATGATCATACAGTGGTTTCCTTTAATCCCTGGCCTTCCCCCTTCCTCCAGCTCGCTACTCACCCGCTCGCATGGAGGGCTCTTGGCTGCAGCGGACACCAATGACCTCTGTCTTCTTATTGCAGTTATGCGTCCAGGCACTGCGGTGGTAGCAATCCCACAACCTCCTTTCATCCCCAGTGCAACGAACATCATCAAGAACTATTGGACCTGATCCGGAGCCAAACGACGATGAGGGCACGAAGGTCAACGCGAAGGGGTAGCCCAGCTGGCGGCAGGCCACGTAGGCGGCCGTCTTGGAGAAGCGATCCTCGCAAACCGTGCCCCAGATGCCATGGACGAAGACCTCAAGTCTGCCCTCGCTTGGTCTCTCACCCCCGAGCAGCCGTAATGAGTAGAGAGGAGGGTCTGTAACGAGAACCAAACAGAGATATTAACCCAATGCATAGAGTAACTAGGTGGTTCCTAAGGGGATGACAGAATTCATGAGACAACTCTGTAGTTTGATCCACTTCTGCAGTGACTGCCTCTAATCAATGCAAAAACAATAGATGATTCAATGAATTATGTATTGTCGTAATCAATGGAACACACAAACTGTTGCTTAATTATACAATATGCAACATATCCCCCATTCAATAGACATTATTTTATGTAATAGAATATTAGATTATCAAAACAAAACCACTTCCTTACATGTAAATCATGTTCTCTTTCCCCTTCCCTTTCCATATTTTCATTCTTTATTATCAAAAGTTTGTATCATATATATGGTACATGCTTTTTTTCACTTAGATCCACAAAGATTTTTGTGGGTATATATTGTATTATTGTAACTACAAGCTATCCACTTATTTTCATTCAATTCAGTTTCTTTACAACCACCTCCTTGTTTCTGGCATGTGATTAGAATCATGTAGAGTTTTTCCAATTTCCTCTTTCTTGTTTTCATTTAGACTTGTTAACCTTTCCTAGAAAAGACAGGTCATAAACTCCACGCCACTGTCTTGCATGATATCAAATATAAACTTGAATTCAATTTAGACTTGTATTGTACAAATCATTTCAATTCAATGTGGTTGGTATGGCCATTGGACGATCGAGGCTGGCGCATTTGATCATCAGTGCCTCTGACACCAAACGACAACCCTCGTCCCTTTTCTCCATTATGAATGTCCTGTCAGATGGAACGTGTCCATTTCCTCCCATATTTAATGAGAATTGATGAAAGATGTCTAAAATACGAGTACTCATCTTCATCATGAGTATCTGGGTGAACATCGGCAGCAGCATGGCCGCCCAACTAACCCTAAGGCCACACAGTAACTGTCTTGTACAGACTGTCCCAAGAAAATGATTCTAGACTATATCTTGATAATTGAACAGAGCAATAGGTGAATTTAGTTTTATCATAAAATTACTGAGTTTACAAAAAAAATGATTATACATTATGAAACCTGTATATAAAGACTTCATAAACATCGTGAAAGCATTCTTTACAAGAAGGTGGTCTCTAGATGCAGAGTACGGTTGTTTGTGTTTCGATGAAGGAGAATGATCAAGAGAAACAAACAAACAGAAAAAAGTGGTATTTCTAGGGAAATGGGTCATACAAGTGGTTGCTAAGGCAGGATTCGATCATTCTATTCAAAGTATTGTCAATAGATCTCAAACTTTGCCTGCATGCTCCTCAAATTGGCCACAAAGCTTCAGTTTCAGATTCATTTTTTTTCCATTTTCAACAGGAGAATCAATATAAACAATTATGACAAGAAATGATCAATAAAACTAGATGGAATTCGACTGCGCGCAGTCGAAAATGATGCCTCCGTTATAGAGCAATTATACAAACCAAAACAGAAAAAAAAAATTGAATTCACGTTCAATGGTAATCCATTGACAGGTTCTCAGAATATTGTGATTACAAGCAATTTCTCATATACATATATGACCCTTTGATCTTTGACCTCATGACCATAAAATCTACTCAGTTCATTGGCTCTGCAAGATGTTCTGAGTTAAATAGTAATCCATCTGTCAGTTCTAATGAGAATGCGTTCACAAGCTATTTTTGCATACATAATGGGCCCATGACCTTTGACCTTTGACCTTATGAACCAAGAATCTACTCAGTTCATTGGCTCTGCAAGTAACAAACATGACCTAATTTTGGCATGAATCCATCAATCGGTTCTTGAGATAACGCGATCACAAGCTGTTTTTGCATTCATAATGTGCGCTGTGGCCTTTGACCTTTGACCTACGTGCTCCAAAATCTAATCAGATTGTCTTCCTATGGTGATACACACTATCATTAAGTTTGAAGTTTAAATCTCCAGTGGTTCTTGAAATATTATGATAACAATCTCAATGTATGGAATTTCATAAGTTGACCTCTGTGACCCTTGACCTTTGACCTACGTGCTCCAAAATCTAATCAGATCGTCTTCCTATGGTGATACATACTATCCTTAAGTTTGAAGTTTTTACATCTCCAGTGGTTCTTGAGATATCATGATAACAATCTCAATGTATGGAATTTCATAAGTTGACCTCTATGACCCTTGACCTTTGACCTACGTGCTCCAAAATGTAATCAGATTGTTTTCCTATAGTGATACACACTATCACTAAGTTTGAAGTTTAAATCTCCAGTGGTTCTTGAGATATCATGATAACAATCTCAATGTATGGAATTTCATAAGTTGACCTCTGTGACCCTTGACCTTTGACATACGTGCTCCAAAATCTAATCAGATCGTCTTCCTATGGTGATACATACTATCCTTAAGTTTGAAGTTTAAATCTCAAATGGTTCTTGAGATATCGCGCTAACAAACTCAATACAAGGAATTTCATAAGTTGACCTCTGTGACCTGTGACCTTTGACCTACGTACTCCAAAATCTAATCAGATCGTCTTCCTATGGTGATAAATACTATTCCCGAGTCTTAAGTTTAAATCTTAAATGGTTCTTGAGATATTGTGATAACGGTCAAACGGGACGGACGGACGGACGGACGTACGGACGGACGTACGGACGGACAACCCGAAAACATGATGCCTCCGGCACCACCTTCGGTGGCGGAGGCATAAAAAATCAACAGACATTAATGCAATGCATTTTGCAAATTGATTAATTGAATTACAAAAGAGAATGTACATTTCTACTGTAAGTTATGCTTCTTCTTTTTGAAAGTAAAAAGTGTAGAAATGGAGGGATCCACTTCATATGAGAAGCAGGGCTTGTAGATTTTGGATCCCTCAAATAATGATAATCATAAACTTCTGTAATCAATACATATAAACTTGAAGACAAAAAGGGGGGGAGGGGCATTACATCATAAAGGTGACCAACAATTGCATATATACAGTTGATTCACTTTATTTTACTGACACATGGTGTACTAGGGTTCAAGAAGGCAATCTAATTCTTTGATTGATACATCTTGTCATGCTCTCTGACATTAACTACCACCACTAAAAAACAAAACATCACTGATCTTGACAGTAAGAAATAAAGTACAAGAAGATTTCTCTCAATCTACATGTACTTCAGGGTATCTTAATCTTAATCTTAAGTAGTTGAACCAAACTGAATACATCACTCATAATTTTGACGTTCCATTAAACTAAAATAGAAGAAATATAATTTTTTACTTCAGAGTTCATTTTTGCTGTCGGCCCAGGCACAACCGCAGTATATGAGTTATTCAAGCCCCTTTTTCTCTTTCATAATGATACGATTGATGAGATCATAATAGTTGCAAAATGACCAGGAAATAAGCTGCTGACTTTGATTTCTCCTGAAATCGATCATTCTTGCATTCTTCAGGAATACACAACACATCAAAATCTCACATAAAAGATGAAGTATTTGGTAATTTTGATTGCCTTCTTGTAATTGTGATGATCTAAGGCATTCTACAGAGTTATATGAGCCTCTGTTTGCCTTCTTCTCAAATAGTGCCTTGTACCCACAGACCCAAATTTTGAGAGGAAGGGGGGGGGGGGGGGGGGCTAGAAAGGTTTTGTCAATACAATATTTTCAGAGACTAAAAAGTATTCAATATTCAGGAGCCATGTTTTAAAAAAAGGCAAAAAAAAAGTAAGAAAAAGAAAAGGATTATTCAATAATACAAACAGCAGGAGGGCACTTAACTGCAAGTATGTTGAATTATTGTAAATATTTACTTATTTTTGAGGAGGGAGTATGGGTTACATGCCCCTTAAGCCCTTGGATCGATCAATGGTTAATATCATATTACCCCAGGTATTTCTTAAATAAACTGTATTTTATTGGCGTTTCTCATGAGTACCTTTAAAAATCCCCTAGTGATGAAAAACAAAAATTGGCTCTTCACCCATGCCTCAAACTAAAAGACAGCAGAAACTGGCACTGGTAATGTCATGCAATTTGGCGATGGGACAACGACCAGGCGGCCATTTTAGAAATCCAGCTTGCTGGAGGATTCCAAGATTATGAACTTAATGGAATAATGTTGGGAGGTCATCAACCCCATATTTATGTTAACCTGTAGACTTAGACACATGAAACATTAATCTCCATTTGATCTCCTTACGAAGCTCAGACAAGCATGAATCCATTCTAGTTTGATGCAATGACATGAAATTACAAGCAGTAACATAAATTCATGGCCATACAATTGTTCAGACACATAAATCTTCCTTTAATATTATGTGCTAGTTTTTAACATTCCCCCCTTCCTATGTATACATCTTTGGTCACTGTCCTACAGCTGAATTCCTAGCTTCAAGCAGACTAAACATTATACCTAACAGTATACCGTAAACCCATGAAGCAACCCTAACACTAACCCTATAATCTTTGACAGAAAAAAGCCCAGAACAACCATTGTTGGATATTGCAGCACCACTAGATACATATCACAAAGTCTGAAAAGCATGAGTTCCATATTTTCCATAAATACCACTTGTAAATTGAAATAAAAATTAAATTTATATTCTAATGTAATCAAGGGTAGCTAGCACACTGCAGAACTACAGAACTCTTCCATATCACAAAACAACATCAGGCATTGGATGTGGTATAGTGAGGCAAATTTCCTAGAAACTCATATCCATCCAATTGATTTTTTTCCCCTCAATCCTAAATAGACCTTTGGAGATCTATCTGCAAGAATTACATTATTCATTTTCTCCAGAAGGTATGCGACTTTTCCCTTTTCTATGAACTTCAAAGAGCAGTTTCCTAAAGTAATTTGGTAGTCCTAGGTGCAATGTATGAATAGACAGTCGGCCTACTTTTGACCCTTCAAGCTCACACTAGTGGCAAACCTGTTTTTGAAATTGGAAGCAGTGCAGATGAACATTATGTGGCAAATGGGTTATCATATAACAATGTGAACTTAACAGCCGAACAAATT